GGGTTTGTCGGATTTTTTTGCCATCCCTAAGTACATAATCATGATTAGTAGTTTCTTACTACAGTTGTGATTTATTTTTTTCTAATTCTAATATGTTTTATCTTTTTATTCTAATATTTTGTTTAGAATAAGATTTCTTTTCTTTATTGATTAAAATATGATTTCTAATTAGATTATGATTTTAGTTTATTTCCTTTTAGAATTTAGTTTCCTTATATTAATAGGATTAATAAATAGTTTTGCCTATAAATACAAAGATATTGTACACTTTTTAACAACAATCAATTATTATTCAATATATACAAGACATGATTGTTCAAATATTATTCTTATTTATTACATAATTCTTATTACAAGAATTTCATAAACGCTTTCGCAGCAAAATTAGTATCAGAACAAGGAATTCACCTCAATATGATGGGCGAGGATGGTACTGGTGGCAGTTAAATCACCGACGATGAACGGAGGCTCGACAAACTCGAACAACGAATCGAGGGAATCAATGTAACCCTTCACAACATCAAGCAAATGCTGACTGCTTTGAATTTTGAAAGGAATCACGAACCCATGGAGAAGGAAACTAATAAGAATTTGCAGACTTTAACTGTTATGAATGTTGGTTGCTTCAACAAAATTAAAATACGGCAACAGGTAGCTACAGAGTTTCCTCAAGTCCGGCTAAATTTGAATACACAAAAGTTATCAAGGATTCTACGAAAGTCTATAGAGAAAATATAAAAGAGTCATATTTGAAACACAACAAAATTTTTAGAACGTGATGCACCATCAACAAACAAATCATGGAAAGTGATAATAAATCGTAAGAGTAGTGAGAACTTGATGTCCAAAGCGTTAGTGAAAGTTTTAAATTTGAAAACTGAAAAATACTCTTCTTGCTATCAAGCTTCACAAACGCAAGAAACTCAAAATATGGAGATATGTAAAATTTCACTCTCTTGGAAAGTACTACAAAGATGAGATTATATGTAATGTGGTAGAGATAGACAATTGTCATATACTTTGGAGACAACCATGGTACTATAATGTAGATGCCACTTACATTGGTCGAGATAATAGATATGTGTTTAGGTGGTACGATAAAAAGATTGTCTTGGTGTCATGTGATGAGCAATTTATGAATTACAAAGAGAAAAAAGCTTATGAGGCAGATGATGAGGTAAAAAAAAAAGTAATTCAAGATAATCAAAATATTACTAAAATAGAAAAAGAAAAGCATGTGCAAGATAAAAATCTGAGACTTGTTGATTCCTTGTATATGAAAACTACAAGTGATAACTTCAAGATCGAGCCGCACTCCAAGGATGAACAAGTTGAAGATCAGAAGTGTCCAACCGGAGAGGAAGAAATTAAATTTTGCAATCACGAAGGAGTCAAATGTGAAGATTGTCAAATTGAGAATAAAAATTTTGTTGATCTTTTCTATAGCTTTAGTGTCAAAGAATTGCATAAAAATAAGAAAAACATGAACGGTGAGGATTTGAATCCGCGTACCAATTCCTTTGTGTTGAAGAAAGCATCACAAAACATTACAACAAAAGGTGAGAAGTATGAAGAATTGAAAATAACACAAGTGGCCTCTATCGAGAGCGAACTCAATGATGATAAATCAAACCATGCTTCGTTTATGAAGGAATGTCATTTCCAAATTATTCATGAAGAAAATATAACAAGCACAATAGGAACAAAGTTGACTTTGAATAATGCAATTGAAGAATATAATGACGTTTATCGAGCATATCAAGAAATGGTCATTTTTTCAATATCGATATTTGCAGAAATTTTTGAGTATTTTTCTCCGGATTGATTGATTTTTTCTTCAAGAAAGCTTGAGGACGAGTTTTATTCAAGTGGAGGGGATTGATGTAGTACATAATCATGATTAGCAGTTTTCTACTACAATTGTGATTTATATTTTCTAGTTCTAATAGGTTTTATCTTTTTATTCTAATATATTTTTAGAATAGGATTTCTTTTATTTATTGATTAAAATATGATTTCTAATTAGCTTATGATTTTAATTTATTTCCTTTTAGAATATAGTTTCCTTACATTTTTAAAATTTAGTTTCCTTATATTAATAGGATTAAGGAATAGTTTTGCCTATAAATACAAAGATATTGTACACTGATAAGTGCATTTCTTTCACTTATATTGGTTGTCAAAATGTGGATATTTGTGATATATTGGATGGAATTGTCGCTAAAAATGTGGTTTACTTTATATTTAGGTTCACATCGACGAATACAACGAAAGTAGAGGAAATGATGAAAGAAAGGGAGTTAATCGAGGAAAAAAGGAGATGAGGACTAAAATGCAAATAATAAAAAGATAGCTCGGAGCGAGAAACGAAAGTCGAGAGTGCGAAGAGTCGTTTGGACATGAAGAAAAGAGCGATGACATGATGAATTGGAGACAGAGGTGCCAAAACAGGAGCTAGTGGAAAGTTAGGGGCCAAATTGCAATTGGCCCCATTGTCGGCAAAAATTAGCCTAAGGCGCGCGCCCTCGCTTGCAGGCGAGGTGCACGCCTCACACCAAGGCAGCCTCGACTGAGGCTGCGAAAACACCTAAGGCGCGCACCTTAGGTTATACTAGGTGCGTGACTCAATGTAAACCGGGGAGAAAATTGTACTTTCCGTATTTTGTTTTGGTAATGTTTTAGGGCACTTTTGGAGGGAGAATAAAAGGGAAATATCATGACTTTTATGAGAGAGCCGTATTTTGAAGAAAAAATAGAGAAAAATTACATTGAAGAAGGAGGAATTTACCATTTTGGATCCGATTTCGAAAGCTTGAAGTGAAGATTTCTAAATTTTCTTCCTATTTACATGATTCGGGTGATGGCTTTCTTTTATTTTCTATGTCATTTTCATATAAATATGCTAGGCTAAGTTTATTTGTATTGGATGGATGATGAAACTACTTGATTTCTAGTTTTTAATTCAAGACTTGTGATTTTTAGTTAAATCTTGATTTGTGATTTTATATACATGTTTTTTCATATTGTTTTAATGTTTGTACACAATTAAGATAATATGTTGCTTATTCGCAGTGTTGGAAAAATCACGATAGGTAGAAC